GCTGTCCGTACCCCACCCCCGCCCCTGGGTCACTTGCACATTTCAGTGCCCACAAGGCTGCAGGGTCTCACTCCCCACCGACACCTCGGGGTTCCATTCAGGGCCCACGCGCCCCCCCCCAGCGTGCCCCCCTTCCCATCCCCAACCCCCGCCCCAGCCTCGACCATCCACCTTCTTGGTATTAACGGTGCCGTGAGACGTTTGAGATCACATAACCATCGATCATGGAGTCGATGTGGCACCGAGGCGGTGTTTGGTGGAGCAAAGTTCTGCGCTTCTGTGGGTTCCTTTCTCCCTCTTTTTTCCTTTTTATTAGTGGCACGCGCCCCGTCCGCACACCCGGGCTATTCGCCCCCACACACTGCCGGGCAAGCGCAGCGCCTTCCGTGTCCCTTTTCAGCCTCTGGAGAGCTCGGGGCCCCGGGCCCGCCGGCCACTGTGTCCAGATGTTCCCATCTGGGGGTGGGGAGGGGTGCGGCGGGGGTGAAGCCTGGGCTGCTTTCGCGCGGGGACGTGGCGGTGAGCCGGAAACGCGCGTGGAAACGACTCGGGAGTGCGAGGCCACGCTCCCACCTGGAAGGGGCGAGGAGAGAGGGGAGCAAGGCCTCCCTCCTCGTCCCCCCTCCACCTGTGGGACTCCCCAACCTGAGGATTTCGGGAAGCCGGGCCGGGCCGCGGCCGGCGGGGAGGAGGTCTCCCCGGGAAGGAACACGACCCCGAGGCCGCGCGCTCTGAGAATAGAATTTGGGATTCCTAACCTATTATTATTAATAATAACCGCAATCATAATGCCAGATGCGCTCGGAACTCCGAGGGCCTGCTTTAGAAGCTCCCAGGCCACGCCGCGGGGCGCGTGCGGTGTTGGGCGAGGAGCCGGGTGGCCTCGGGGTTCACGGAGGTGTTCAGAGGTTTTCAGAAGATCCCGAAGGATTTTCGCTTCGTGTTCGGTTTGTTTATGTAACCTAGCATTGGCGTGAAGCTTACTGATTTCTTTTTCTTTCTTTCTTTTTTCAATTGCGCTAAGAAGATACCTGTAACTTTGCAAATAGAAACCCTGGACCTGCTTCGCTCTACCTGGCCGGATGGATGGATGACTCTGGGAAGAGGGTGGGGTGGAGCCGAAGCCTGGAGGGCCTGTCCGACACACAATCACGAAGCGCAAGCCCTCGACTCTGCATTCCTCTCCCTCCTCAGGGCTGGAGCTGGAGCTTTCCTGGGATTTCTAAACAGAATAATGTAATCATGCACGCTGGGGAACACGGGTGTTGGTGGGGAACTGGGTGGGTGCTCACACCCTTCTAGGACTTCAAGATGGCTGGCAGGCTCCTGCCCTAGCAGACAGGGAAATTCTTTATTCTGATGGCTTCCGGTCACCTGCATAGATAGCCCTGACCTCCTTCATTAGTGACTCAGCAGTAGGATCTGCTTCTGTGAAGAGAGAGGCCAGAGAGATGCTGGCATATATTTTCCTGCATCTGATTACCCATATAGAGGGGTGTGTGTGTGTGTGTGTGTGTAAGTGTAATCCAGCCCCATGTAAACGGCTCTATCTCACTTCCCTCCTGCTAGCTGTCTTCCCTAGGACTTTGCAGGTCACCCTCAGAAATCTTAAGTCTATCAGCATTTTTCCTCTGAGCTTCTCCTGGCCGAGGGCTTGGACTGCAGGTGCTGCCTAGGAGCCCAGTGGGGCACTGGCTGTTGCTGAGGGCTGGAGGAGCAGCGCTGGCCCACCTGTGCCGTCCTTAGAATGGCCCCAAAGGCGGAGGCAGGCTGGTGTGGTGAGGGTAAGTGGCTAGGAGTGGGAGGGTGGAGGGCTTCTGCCTCCACCTGCCAAGGGCAGTGGGGGCAGGGGAGGGGGGTAAGCTTTATGTCCACCTCTGCTCTTAGACAATAGCTCCTGGCATGGCCACTGGATTCTCCACTGCAGCCTGGTGAACCCAGCCTGGGTGTGGACTGGAGCCACCCTCCATTGTGCGTTCTTCTGCTTGGAGCCTGCTGCTTTTTAAACATTCTGCCCAGTCATCCTCCTGGCTCCGTTGGCCTTTGGCTCTGAAAGCCCACATAGCATTTTTCTCTGGCCATCTCTACAAAGGTAAAGTACGTAACTTTAAGCTTGATTTTTCCCTTCCCCTCTCCAAAACTGGCACTGACTGACTCAGTGTTTTCTGCAGCAGTGACAGTCTGTCTTTAGAGGAAGTACTGTCTTGTGTGTGTGTGTGTGTGTGTGTGTGTGTGTGTGCGTGTGCGTGGACACACACACACCTTCCCCTTTAAGAATATCCTCCACAAACATGACATTGCTTAAGGGCTTCCAGCAAACCACAGGCCTGGCCGCTCAAAATGAACCCCAAAGTCAGTACAGGAATCTCGGGATGAAACTCACTAATAGAGTTCCTATGCCTCTGCTAATTCCTGAACCCATGTCACCTCCTCTAAATGCGCTATGTGAAAATATTACTATAAAGGTCACAATGTAAAACCACTCAGTGAGAATATTCTTCTTCACCAGTGACTATGGTCTGAGGGCTTTGAACTGACCCGGCTTGGTGACTGGCAGCTTTTCAGTTCATTATCCTAAGATCCTTTGGTGAGGTGTGGGGCTGAAGTACTTAAGGGCCAGGGTGGGAGGAGAGGGTCAGGCAGGGCCCAGGCAGTAAGGTTTGGGGCATTGTCCTAGATTCTAGCGGCAGGCAGGTCATCATCAAGTAGCTGCCTCCATATCCCCAAAGTTGGCATCCACCTGCCAATGCCAGGAGGGATGCAGGAAATAAACCCTTGTGGGTACCGCCGTGTGGCTGGCACCGGCTGTCTATTATCTAATAAGGGCAAACTCCCTGCAAAGTGGTGATTCAGAGAAACAGCTGAGGCCCAAGAGGTTAGATCACTTGCCAGCACACAGCCATCTCAGGTCTAAGAAGCGGTGTCTGCCTCCAGACTGAATGGTGCCCTACTCCAGATATCTGCCGGCCCTCCTGTCCCTGTGGGGTTGGATTATTGCATGCTGCAGTCCGCAGAATCTAGTGTGTGTGTGTGTGAGTGAGTGTGTGTGAGAGGGGGGGGGAAGACAGAGAGAGAGGCAAGGGGGAGGGAGAGAGAGAGCCTCTCTTCTCTGAGATGATCTGTATGAACCACTGATCCATACCTGAGCAAACTATCATTGAATGGGTTGTATTTGGACAGATACTGGTCAGTGGGAAGGGGAGATGGGAGAAGAAAGCAGTATGATCAACATACTAATCCCAATGTAAAATAAAATAGATGGAGCCAGGTATGCTGATACACTTCTATAATCCCAGTCCTGGGAGGTGGAGGAAGGAGAATCAGGAATTCCAAGCCAGCCTGGGCTACACAGCAAGACCGTGTGTCAGAATCAATCGGCAAATCATAAATATACAAAATAAATAAATAAAACAGATGCCCTTAGTAAAACACGAAACCACCGGTTTGGTTTTTAGTGAGGGAACTGTGCAGTCCAAGTTCACACCATTACTCTAACAAGCACCTCTTCAGGAATTAATCAGCTAAAAGAACCCCAGTACCTCTTCTACTGTTTTTTTTCTAATTAAGGTATCTCTCTTTTTTTACTTGGGAAATGCATTTTCTTTGAAAAAGTGACCTGAAAAGTTTGCTTTAAGGACTCATATTAATAAATAAATAATAGCACCCAACATCCCACTTACTGAAGTTTAATCACACCTTCCATAAATCTCTAGACTCTTCCAAAAGACATGACTATAAAAGCAAAGGGAATGTGTGCCGTGCTGACTCCATGAATATCTTCCCCTCCTATTTCTTGGTCTGTGTCGTGCAACCACCACAGGGAACCCACATGACCCTCCTCCAAGGTTTAGAAAATAACACTTGCAAGGAAACTCCCTGTTTGAATATGAAATACGTGCAACTCTTACAGCCTCACATTTTGAAAGTGATGCGTCGTGAAGTGCTGTGCGGCTACAGAAGATCTGGGACGCAGCACAAAGCGGAGTGTCTCTTGAATCCATTAGAAGCGCATTTATATTCCCAACACGCGCCCGCTATTAAAATGACAGCAGCTTTCTGCTCTCCAAGCAGAAATGATGGCGATGGGCTCAGACCCCTAAATGCTTGTTCCACAGAACTAGCAAAGGTAATGTACTTCCTCCCTAGGGGCCTGCTCGGCCGGGCCTGGCCCTCAATCACAGTCACCAGTCTGAGGTAAGAAAGAGGGTGGTCCACCGGGGACAATCATCTCACAGGTCACAGCAGTATTGGTTAGAGCCAACAACTCTAGCTCTGTGTCTAGCTGTACTTTCCTGTCTGCAAGGAAATGCATGCTGCTTCTGCACTTTGGGTCTTTAGCAGCCCCCAGATACTCCATGCAGTACCCAGATTTCTTGGGTGACTTTTTTTTTTTTGATGGCTTCAGAAATCAATGGGAGGAACCTGAGGCTTGCATTTCTGTGTGGAACAGACAAAGCCTGAGGCTGGCACCTTTGCAGCCATGCTGGAGCCTGTCCAGGCAGGAGCTAACCTCCTCCCCAGTACCTCCCTGCTGCTGCTGCTGCTGCTGCTGTGAATTGCAGGCTGCAGGCTACAGCAAATGCTGAGTAACTGCAAATGGGCGGATCCCTGGATTTCTACCAGGAAGCCAGCCGGCTTCTGAAACCAGAATGTGCAACACTAGTGCTAGGTAAGTTGAACATCGTGAGTGTCTGGACAGAAAAGGGAAGCTTGCTTGTGTCTCAGATGACTTACCAATTGTTTAAATAACTCGTGTGTGT